CAGCATTTTTGCCAGTGACGGTTTCCCACTCCAGCCCTTTTGCGTCCTCTATCTTAGACTGCAGTTCTGCAGGATTGCCTTGAGCAGGAAGCTCTTTTTGGGCTCTCTTCTGGAGAAACGACGCCATTAACTGTTCAACGTGGCTGCTGTGCAACGGTTGGACCTGAAGGACCTCTTCACAAAACAGAGACTCAGTGGAGTGCACCCTAGCACGCTGAGATGCACGACCCTCCTCTGGTTCGTTGCTAGCTTCACGCTTAGCGGCGCTGTCTCTAGGGCTAACATGAGCTGGGGCCGAGCTAGCTGTGGCACCGGAGGACGGGGCATCGTTGCTGGAACCTGCTGAGACTTGTTCCTCAATCATGCGAGGAACCATCTCTGTCATCATCTCCACAAAGGCCTCTGGTTGCATGGCTAGAGGTCTGACAAGCACGGGCTCCGGTCTGGTCTTACCGGTGAGTCGGCGGACAGGACCATATCCCGATCCTGAGCCTTCAGAGTCTTTGGGGGCACTTGTGTCAGCTGGCATTACAGAGTCACTGCTTTCCGGCCTAGGATGTTCTGACGATGCTTCTGCATCTCTGGCACGATCCAGACACTGAGCAGCATTCAAAGCAGGAGGATCTGACCGCTCGGAGGCGCGATCGCCTATCTCAGACGAGGCTGCCTCTCCTGCAGGAGGTGGTGTCTGTTGCACCAAGTCTTCGAATTGTGCTTTGGGAAACTGGCCACGCTCCAACAAGTTCTTGATGCCGAGTAGCTCGTTCTGGGGGAAGTCTGCTACCGTGGCTTCGTCTGGGGTAGCCAATCGAAGCTGTTCTGGCGCACAGCGTAGCAAACTGCGTCTATGGGCTACTACAACATTGCGACCGATGTTGCCTAACACCATTGCTGCCCCGTACCATCTACCTCCCTCTAATCTGACCCCTTGTACGGATTTCTGCGTTCTCCAATAATAAACCCAATCCCCTGAACGAAACTGTCGGCATACCCGGGGTCTGGCTCTAAGAGCCGCTCGCAGAGCTCGGTCATCCTGACATTGGAGCATGGCTCGGCGGGCGGACTGCCGAATGGCATTGGCTCTTGAGGCCACATCGTCCAGCTCAGCGGCATCGGAGGCTGGGGCGTGAGGAGCATCTTGAAGCAAGTCTGAGGGAACCCGCGGATTCCTACCGAACACCAATTGATACGGACTTGCACCAGCTTCCGTAAGGAGACTATTCTTTGCCGATTGCGTGTGGAAAACGCACGACAACCACTCACGTTCATTTGTGGGCTGCATCTCATCTATGACTCTAGCGAGAATACGTTGAAACCACTGCCCGTGCCTTTCCACACGACCTATCTGCCACGGCGCTTCTGCTGCTGTTTGTTGCATGTCCACACCCTGATTGTTACAAAACTCACCTAAGGCTACAGAAAGATTGGGTCGAGAGGGATCTAGCACCAGGCGTTCAGGCGGTCCAGCCCATGCAATCCAACGGTCACGCAGGGCGTCCACCAACAGTTCACCGGTCTCCCTCTTAAACAACGGTGTCATGATCTGCAGCGAGGTGGCCATGTCCACAAAGTTGGCACATGCAATCTTTTGCTGGGGCAACCATCCGGGGAGGTACTTAACATCCAAACCCAAAAGTTCATTAAAGGTCCTAATGGGGGAAACCTTCGCGGGGAGTGGAGCAGCTGGTCTCTGTTGGTTGGCGCACACTGAGCACTCCAGCTGCGAAGCTCTCTGTACAGCAAGGTCTGAGGCGCGGCTGTGCTTAAGAATGCGGACTAGCTCTTTAGATGAGGGATGCCCGAGGTTGGCATGCAAACGCTTAAGGGCTTGATCAATCTTAGCTATCCTCTGGGGGTCTGCCTGCGCTTCAGCCTGTTCGGCCTCCGGTTGGCCGCCTGGCGCAATCTCTTCTGGAGATTCCGCTTCTTCACCTGCCAAGCATTCACACTGAAGTTCTGACCAATTAATGGGCTCACCGGGTGCGAAGGTGAGTTCTGCGGCATCAGGGCCAATGCTGGACCACGCTGCTTTTACGAATTCGGGGGTGTACCTACCAGCCCAAACACTTCTACGAAGACCCTTACCGCATTGACCCTCTATATGCTGATGTTGGGGGCACCCAGGACATCGTCTGGCTGCGGCTTTGAAGCCAGGATGCGAACACACGATGCCAGTATGCTTTTGCATTGGAAGGCCAGTCTTGGGGCACTTCAACCCATAAGCACACATGTCTACCTTATGAAAGCCATAGCGCTGCTTAAGGGCCTCTATGTCGGGATGTTTCCATAAACGTGATCCTACAGGATGTTCAAGGAGGAAATGGCCGCCCCGTTTCAACTGCCTATGTATTTGCTGGACACAGAAGCGAACCTGCTGACGGACATACGGGTGATGCGGGCTTGCTCTACTGGGGTCCTGAAACACTTGTTAAGGTGATCCCAACCGCCAGCATATGTACACGGGGGACATGCTGTTAGCAGGTACGGCTTAGCTTCTTCCAATAGCGCATCTACTTCTTGCTGGGTATCCTTATTAAGGAGGTCTACACCCTGCTTAATGTCAAAGGACATCCCTGTGTTGCCCCGCCGTCTGGCTTCAACTGCAAAACGGGGTGGTGAAAACAACTCTGCCACTGCCGTCCTGCTCTCGCGTTGATGCTCGAGGGCTTCACCTGTGCCAACAAGCATCTGGTGTGCTTGGCTGAAAACGACGGATTCTTGTGCTTTTGGGAATTTGGAATTGGCTCCCACACGGCTTGGCTTTGATTGTGGCTTGCCACTGCATGCTTCACGTGAGGCTGCTGCAACCCCAACCCTTTACTGGCATTGGATCCGAAACTACCGCTCAAACCCTTATCCCCATCAACCTTGGCACCTTCCAAACCCTGAAGACAACCCCTGGCTTCTTTCCTTTGATCCCCAGACATGCTGCTACTACTACTTTCGGGGCCCTTCGGGGAAACCTTATACCCTACTCTCTGCCCGGCACCTGGAGGCGGAAAGTCCAGGACATCCAGCAAAAGCTGGCCAGCACTGTTTGTCTTCATAGGCAAGGGATTGGGAAGGTTCAGCAGGCTAAGGGTTTTGTCCTGAAAGTTTAACTGTGCCCGAAGCTTCTCAAGAGTGGGGCGTCCCAATAGCAAGGGGGCTTGTCCTTCTATAACAGCTGCGTCTATCAAGCCACAGCGACCACCAATAGCCACTGGAAGACGAACTGCCTTGCGGGAAACTTCTGTCGCCCCGTTGCCGTAGCGGAACATGTTCATGGTCTCGTACTCTTCCACCATCTGCTTGGTGTACCCAGACAGCTTGTTCTGGAAGACCTCGAGAGTCCTTTGTCCGATAAGAGTCCTTCCGCAGCCGGAGTCTATCACTCCGAAGCCTGGTGAGGAGACCAGACCTGCAGCTAGGGCCTCTGGATGCTGAGGTGGTTCTGCCCAACACTCAGCAGCGCCCACAAAGGTGACATCGAAGTTGAAGGAGCCTTCTTCTGGATGAGACTGAGCCAAAGAGACTTCGTGGGCTGCATCCGGTCGGTGCTCCACGAAGTGAACGTCTGCCGAGGCCGATGCCGACGATGTAGCACCCTTGGAGGCACCCTTGGCGTTGGTGGAGGATCGGCATTCTTTCTGCCAATGTCCCACCTTGCCGCATTTGCGGCATCTGGTACGGCGTTTCAGCTCCTCGATCTCTACACGAAAGGATTTGCGGGCACCCTGCGAGTCCGCAAACTTTCGGCCACGCTGTAGTCGAGAGATCTCCTGTCTGCGCTCCCGCCACGTCACAGCGAGTGCTTCAGCTGCTTCATCCTCGTCCAACACCTCGTCGTCAGCGTTGTCCCGGAGGTTGTGGTCGGCAAGGAAGGCCTCCACGTCTGCGAAGTCGTGGTCCAGCTGGCCGACGGACTCCTCGTGGTCTTGGTCCTCCGGCTCAACCACCAGAGTCGAGACTGGCCTTCGAGCCTTGCCACCTGCCTTGTACATCGGAAAGAAGGATCGGAAGGAGGCGGAGATCTGCTCCACATCTAGGCTGCCTTGCGCCTTCGCCTTGACGATGGCTTTCTGCTCCTCCGTCAACCCGGCACAGTTCAACATGATCCAGCCCTGAGCTGGGCCAGGAAAGGCAACATCCGCCTTTCGGCGGCACTTCTCGAAGACCTCCTTGACCCGAGCCGTCCACTGCTGAACCGTTTCAGACTCCTTCGCTGCTAGCCCGAACACTTCTCCAAGAGCCTCGCCCATCTGGTCATGCTTCTCCTTTTCCGGGAAGCGGGCCGCCAGAAGCTCGAACACTGTCTTCGCCCCATTTTCTTGGGACAACTCTTCCAGTGTTAGATGCTCCACTGCATCCAGGGCTTTGCCGTCCAAAAGGGTGAACAGCCACGGTCCCGCCTGTTTAGGCGAGAAATCTTTCATCGTCGCCATCTTGGCTTGAGTCCAGGCTTTCCACCTTCTGAGCTGTCTGCCGCTGTCCTCGTCGCTTCCATCGAAGCGTTTAATTCCCTTTTCTCGATCGTCACTTGACATGGCTTCTACGTCTTGGCACTACCCTACCTAGGGTAGCGAGAGCACACAAGCTCCGTAGCTACCAATCTCAAAGTCACAGAGCTCTACCTAGAGCAACCATCAGGCACTCTGCTTTGCTTCCCTGAGCAAGAAAGGTCCTGCGTCGGTCGACTCCTGGCGAGCGTGTTTCGGGAATGATTTCACAGGGTTTAGGTTTTACGGTTTAGGGTTTAGGCTTAGGGGTTACATGGTTTTTTTCCATGAATTGAAGCTAAGTTACTACATATCCATATTATGGTAATTTAGCATAAGTTCTCTGACAGCAATGCTCCGACGTCCTGGTATATAAACGCTTGAGCCGGCAAAGAGATCCTGCGATCTTCCCTGCATAAGATGTGTAGCGTTTAGGTTTAGGCGTAAGTCTTGTGACAGCTAACGTGGGCTCTTGGGTCTTCATATGAACAGTCAACATGCATCACTGCCCATACTGCAAGGGAAAGCTGCTTTCAAAACTCTATCATACGCACACTTTCGAGTACGCCCTTAAACTACAAACTTTCAAGCCTCAAACCCTAAGCCCTAAACCTGAAACCCGAAACCCGTTGACTAAAAGTCCTCCATACCCCCCAGGCTGAACGACCGTGGCATTGCGGGCGGTGCAGGGAGGAATCAGTATGTGAAGCTCATGATAGTCAAGGCTAGCAAATTTTCTTTGGGCTTAGGGTTTAGGTTTTATGGTTTAGGGTATTGGAGACTCAAGTTATGGCTTCGGTTTTTGGGGTTTCGGAGTCTAGGCTTTAGGTTCTGAGGTCTAAGGTTTAAAGAGGTTTTAGATAGACGTCAAGGTTCGGGTCCTACCTTCCAACCCTTATGACACCCCTGAACCCAAAGAAAATCTCTGTTCGGGGGGTGTCCCTAAAGGGGTGGTTTGTCCATAAGGGGGATTAGCAAGTATTTAGTCTTTTGAGTATGAGCCTTTATGGTGGCTAGACACAAGGCGTGGGGTAATGGGATTCTGTGGGAGACATAGTCTGGAATTTTGGTAGGTGTTACAGGCTTGGTCTTGGGTTTTGATAAAGACCCCTAAGCCCTAAAACCTACGCTAAATCCTATACCCTAAACCCTTGGGTGTGGATGAAGACTCGTTAGGAATCATGAGTCTCCTAAACCCCAAACGTTAAACCTTAAACCCTAAACCATCATGAAGGCGCATGGTACTAGAGCACTATGCGGGGATTGCACAGTTTCAGGCAAGACCTTCTGTCTGGATCAGGGTGGGGGCCTTGGGGAGGGAGGTCAGGGGTTTGTGCTTATTCCCTGCGAAGGACCAGTAAGAACCTAAACCCCCTAAATCCTAACCTTCTCAACGCCCGGATGCTCTGGAGCCAGAGATCTTAAACCTGGGTGACTGTCAAATACATCTTGTGTTTAGTTCCTTTTTCTGTATACTAAGTCTCAAACAAGGATCTTAAGCCATAATTCCTGATTGTATCTCGGTAAGGAGCCGGCATCCCGAAAAAAACACAAGAAGCTCCAGATAATGTCTATTTCCATGTCATAATGTCCGATTCAGTTTCCATTCCGTAGCTTCGTAGAGACCATGAAGCTCTGGCTCCACCTACTTGGATGTTCAGAGAAATTATGCCCACTTATAACTGCAGTTCTAGTCCCAGGAAGTCCCCTCATATGAGCTATAGTTTAAACTCCTTAAAGGTGGTTATATTTGGGGATTTTTAGAGTGGTTATGAAGAGGGATACTAGGAGTTTAGACCTAGACCTAGGCCTACAACTATAGTTGGGTGTAAGTTGCCTACGCCTCCAATTGCTATCCTCCAGGCACTTACGGCCACCGGCGGCTACAAAAGTGATGCCATCTCTGCAGTGACTTTTCATATACAAGATAGCCTAAGAATACTTTGCTAGTCCCAACCTTTATAAGAGCAAGCCGGACACCTAAAGAGTCACAGGATCATAGGATCTGAATTTCGGTGTTCGGGGTAACCAAACTTCCCGTAGGCATCGGCGTAGTATCTTGAAAGCGGAAGATGATCACCTCCCAAGTCATGGGTTAGCCTGCTACTTCCCTAGGTTCCCCTAAACTAGGGTCGTTGTTTAATAAGGATGACCAGGAGTACTTAAGGCAAATTCAGGAGCAACCTTAAGAGGGTAGTATAGATGAACTTCTCGTTCTGGTTCCGGTTCCTCTTAACAAGAATATCGGCGAATCTTGTTTGGCTCAACCACGAAAAAACAAACCACCCAGGTAGCAATGGAGGGCTTGGTCGGACATTTTTCACTCGAACCCCTAAACCCGAAACCCTACAGCCCTAAACCGTAAGTGGTAAGCCCTAAGCCTTATCGAAGCTTAAAAGTATGTAGAATTATAGATGTTGGGCTGTTCGTAGTGAGGCGTGGGGCGCCAGTAGGGAGATATGCGCATTGCCGATTTTACTCCTAATCAGTTACAGCTTAGGGGTTTCTTCGCCGCACGTTCGAATGTTTGACGCTACAGCCTTATCCCTGGGCCCTGAAGCCTGAAAACTTCCCTAAAAGGTTCCCTAAAACCCTACATCCCTAAAGCCTCCCCAAGAAACCGCAACAAGTCCTAGAACCCTGCGGTTAATGCTAAATATGCTGAGTGAACCAACGTATTCCAGACCTTGGGAATTCTGGTACTATAATACACAGTGTTCTACGGCGGTGCAGGAGTTTTAGGTCTCCCTCAACCCTAAGCTCCAAAATCCTAAGCCCTGAACCCTAAACCCTAAACCTTAAGGCCTAAACCCCCAAGCCCATATAAACTTAGCATTGCGTGGGGTACCCACATGTCCTTAATTTTCAAGCTTTAAAACCAAAATGACACCCCCCAAACCCTCCAGCCCATATAAACTTACCATGACTTAGGGTACCCAGATGCCCTTCAGTTTGAAAATTTAAAACCAAAATGACACCACTCGAAAAAAAATGTAATTGTAATACACCCTAAACCTTAAATCCTAAATCCGAAACCCTCAACCCTAACCCTTAAACCCCCAAGAACTTACCCAAGAAACATGTTTCCCAGGTAAACTATGCCATGGCCATGGGGGCCCAGATTTCCTCCAACTCTTGGGGGGGCCACAGTCACCTGCTAGATTTAGGGTTTAGGATTTAGGGCTTTGGGCCTAGGATTTAGGGGTTTAGGGCTTTGGGTTTAGGAGTTAGGGTTGAGGGTTCAGGATTTAGGGTTTGGGGTTCTTGCGCAGCACCTTCGTTTCTTGCTCTTTTGGGCACTGGCCACCTGTATATAGAAGGGTACCAGCATGTGAAGCCTTTTTGCTACCTTCTGAGGGTAGTATATGTAGCCTTGGCTTTCTGAGGGTTTAGGGTATAAGGTGTCTGGAAGAGTGTTTGGAGTATAGGTTTAGAGTTTAGGGTCTAGGGTGTGGCATGTAGGGTCTAGGGCCAGGGTTAGCGTTTTGGGTTTCGGGTATAGGTTTTGCGTATAGTGTTCGAGTCTTGCCCCCATCTTACTTGATGATCAACCAGTTCATGTTCAATCCGTTTCGGTTCTCACTGGGCCAGGGCTGGTTCGGGTTAGGGTTCGGGTTAAAAATTTTGGGCTTGTTTCGGGCTTGGGGTTTCGGGTCGAGGGTTCAGGGTCCGAGTTTGGCACTCAGAGGTTTCCTTACAGCAAGAGTCATGATGGCGCTCATGATATTCTTGGGTGTATTTGAGTGACGACATAGTGAAAAGGGCAGTTGGTCACAGTAACCGCCAAAACTAGGGCACCCGTACAGACACATGACTCATGACAGTTCTGACATCCTCTTTTTCGGGGAGTTTGGGTTGCCAAAGCCCTCTCATAAACCTGTCTGTACGCTTAGTTTTCACTTCGTTTTCTATGTTCGTTTGTATTTGATTTTCTTTCAACTTAAACCCTAGATAAAGCCGGGCCAAATTATTCTCTTCTAAAGCAGCCTTGAGCTGACTGGCCCTAAGTCTTGGAAAGCACCTTGGCTTGGAATTGTGGAGATTCAGCTAGTTTGCGTGCGCGCGTACGTCAAGGGCTTAGAGTTTGGGTTTATATACATAACCAGCAATTTTCAGCAGATCTCAAGAAACTTCAAAGCAACGTAAACCCCCCATAACATCCTCATCATTCCTGCGTATACCTTTGCGAGAAACCCTGAGCCGTAATCTCGGATCCCTGAACCCTACACGTCCTTATATGCCCTAAGCTTCCCAAAGCCCTGATTAAGCCCTCAACCCTAAATTCAACCCCACAAACCCTAAGCCCTATAAAACCCCATAACCCCTACATCCCTAAACCCTAAACCCCCAAATCCATCTCAATCCCCTTAAACAGACATCCCGTCAGGCTTGATTCAAAGAAGAACCCTAAGCCCTAAACCCTAAACCCCGTCTCGCGACTCAGGTGAGAGCCAAGCTCTACAACAGGCACCCTTCAGGGTTAAGGGTTGGTTCAGGGTTCGGGGCTTAGGATTTAGGATTTGAAGTTTAGAATTTAGAGTTTCAGGTTTAGGGTTTAAGGTTTAGGGTTTCCAGTTTTAGGGTTTTAGGTTTAGGGCTTAGAGTTTAGGATTTCGAATTTAGGGTTTAGGGTGCTTGTCCAATGATATAGGGGTGCCTTAAGCCCTAAACCCCATTATAGGGATATGCGGGGATAATGGGGTGGTCATAGGGATAAATTGGGTTGCATAGGATCTAGGGGAAAAATTGTTCACCGGCCGGGGGACTGAGTAAATATATCTTAATAGAAAACGCATGTAGCCCAGACAAGCCACTGATATCTATTAGATGCTCAAGCTATCCCAGGGGTTAACCTACCCATGGAAAGACATACCTTAGGCTACCACTAGACCCTAAACCTCCAACCTTAAACACTAAACCCCAGACCTCCACCTCGACCTTAGAACCGCAGTCTGTGCAAGAACAAGAACGAGAACAACAATCAGACCACTGAGGGTTTAGGGCTTAGGGTTTAGGGCTCAGGGTTTAGGGTTTTGGGCTGTAGGGCT